TCTCATGTTAAAAGAAGGAGACTTGGAGGCTTCTAGAGGTTCCATCTTTTCGAGGCTGAACTGCATCATTACCTCGAACCTATTCATCCGCTCTTCTTGAGCGTCATCCGGCTCGGTGATCACCATGACGCTAACCATTTCTTCTGAAGGGTCAAAGCCAGGTGGAGTAGTGGACTACCAAGGTTGGTGGGTTGTGCGTGGCAAGTCAGTCTGCAGGGGCTCAGCATGCCTCGACTGGACTCAAACCTTGTACGCTGACCTTGTGAGGACCGGTTCTTGACGGTCTTGGAGCTTGTACCATAGCAAGTAGTGTAGAAAGTAAATGGTGATACTGATCAAACAAGAGCGAACCGACGAAGGGGTATTAAGTCCCCAATGGAGTCGTCAAGCTTGTTAGATGCCTTGATCTCGCCTCCCCAAATCTAAGTGATCAGGTGACACGTGTCTCGGGTTTGGAAGACCCAAGACTTGAAACCAATCTCTTAGGAACCTCGTTCACAGAACAAGGCCAGGTGTCCAACTAGCGAGAGAGGAATTTTAGATGTGAGGTGGGGACCAACCTCACCTGGGTCCGTGACTTACTCGGGCTGACTCGCATGAGTGCCGTCTTAGATCACGACGGAAAGCTCTCCAGCTGCTTCAGCTGGTTCGAAATCGCCTCCCTTGACCTGCAATCTCCTTGTTTTCTGCACAACACTACTATGGTTAGTTTGCAAGATAAGTGGGCCGAAGGACCCACCTTGTCTTAGGGCAATGCACCTTCATATGGCTGAGAAAGTGAGAAGTTAGGGTGATGAAAAGAAGAGGGTTTAAATGAGAGGAGAAAAGAAGAGGGGACTCGATAAGGAGACGAGACTAGCATGATAGCTGGACCAGTGCAATGACCGACTCAGAGTGGTAGTAAGACAAGCACAGTAACTCAGACAAGCATGACGGCAATTACTACTCGAAACCAAGGTCGATACGACTGTCCTAATCTGGCATGCCAGCAAGACAGGCATGGTACTCAGGTTCAGCACAATGGCAATATTGCTCGACAGCCAGACCGCTATGGAAACACTAGACTGAGTCTACCCTCAGCCAAGTGAGAAGGGAAGAGAATGAGGAGAAGGCACAAGATGACAAATGATGAGTTTTGACGGCAAAGGAGGAGGTCCCAACAGTGCTAGACACTACTGCTCAAGGCGAAAGGGGGGCAAATAGTGAACTACAAACCGCGTTAGGCAATGCCGTGGGCAACGCGAGAAGGCAACACATCCCTTCTCAGGTGGCGAAGACCTCTTGTGAAGCAGAAGACGATAGTTGTGGGATGCAAAGAAGAGCCTGCGTACGAAGGGAGCTTGCGGATGTCAATACGCACCGAGCGCTCGAAGGAGGCTCGCGGATGGCGATAGGCACTGAGCATATGAAGAAAGCTCGTGGACGGCGATAGGTATTGCCGTCTGCGATAGGCATAGGAGAAGCCAGTGGACGACGATAGATATTGCTGCGACCCTTCGCAAGTGGGGATGGGCATTGTCATCTACGATAGGCACACAACAAGGTGAGCCTCTGCAAGACGACAATAGGCATCGCCGTCTGTGCTTCTCGCGGAGAGGCAGAGACGAATGAAGATAAGATAACTCGCACATGGCGCTGCCATAGCCATGCACGACCTATGAAGCCACAGGAGGGGGAAAGAAGGGACGAGGCATGCACGGCACTGGCACTACCATGCATGGCCTCTGAGAGAAGCTCAGACAAAGAAGAAGAAGAAATAAAAGAAGAGAGAGAAGAAGAAAGGGAATTCTTTTTGGTGAATGATTCCAAAAAAGGAAACGTACAATGGTAGTACATGGTATATAAAGAATTGTGCGAGTGGAATGATCAAAATTAAACCTAATTACTGGAAATTAAGATTTAACTGGATTAAAAGAAATTAGAAAATAGGGTGTAAAATGACAGATTTGTCGCTTCCTAACATTTTGTGGAATTCTAAAACAGTTCATGTGCTGCCCTAGAACGTGCGTGATTTTTCATGAGTGATCTGGGGTTGTTTGGATGCTCGTTTTATCAAAAGATGATTGTTTTCTTGTAGGACTTGACATGACGATAGATTTGATACCAACTTCGAGCCATCGATCATGTTTTTAGGCCACGATCATATGACTTGAAATTTGGATGAATCTTGAAACTTTGGATTGATAGTGTACTCGTTCCTTGATGTTTTTCTGTGATTTCTTCGTTGGATCACACTAAGCATGCCGTCAAGATCATGTTGCAACAAACACAGCTCGATTCCATGTCTGCACAAAGATTTTGCAACATTGGAGTTTTGGTCAGAATCTGGAATTTTGGCGTCGAAATTTACAGTTAATTCTTCGGCTTCGTGTACTGAATCCGATCGTTCATCATGTACAATGTTCGGACTTGAGATAGCCCTAGACCTTATGTACACAATGGAACTGGTTTCACGTCGATTGGGTTCACGAACGGTGTGACTTGGCCTCTCGAGCGAGGTGCAACGCTGCTAATTTTCTTGCAACTTTCCTCACGGATCAACAATTTCTCATTATCTGTTCTTCGCGCTCGAGTGTCGTCGCGGGGTGTGCCACATATCGAAATGCTCGTCTTGACGAGACGAACACGTTCACAAAATTTGAACATGATTCGACTTGAGACGGGTGAGATATGAGTGTCGAAAGTCAGTATTCGTGACTGCCCCTTTAATGGAGTTGAGTTGCAAGGTGGTCGCGCGGGAATAGCATGCAGCTCCTCCTGTTTCACTCTTTTGCCTATAACTTCTTCATGGAATGTCTGTTTAAGCTGAAATTTCACCGCTGAGTTCTGGATACAATGGAGGTTGTCTCATATCAATTTGATGCATCGAAAATATAATTGTAGTTATAGGGGTTCGCTTCAGGGTGAGAGAGGCTGATTCTGACGAAACTGTTTATCAATCTGTATTGCCTTAGACATATCGGAATGCGACGAAACTTAGCAGTAGACTTTTAGGAGTCCTCATGAAGTCTTGACCAGTTCTGGGGTCATTCTAAGACTGTTGGAATTTCCACTGTTTGTTTAGCTTTATTGACCGAGGACCCATGATGATGAAAATGTCTTCCAACACTCTATTTTATTCAATGTAGCATCTCCTCCTTCTTTATCTTTTTGCATAGATTTTCTTTTGTTCATCATTCTAATTTCTTTGTTTAGTGATTGCATGCTTAACTTGTGAGTGGGATCATATTTCTTAGTTTCTATGCTCTTTTCATTTATGACTTAACTCCTTCTCTCATCCTCTTTCATATAACATTTATTCTTATTTATTTGTAGTTATTTCTCCTTCGCCTTTCTTTTCATCTTATAGTTTGGCTCTCTCTCTCTCTCTCTCTCTCTTCTCTCTCTCTCTGTATTTATTTTTGTTATTACTTAATAGTTTAGTCTCATTTCTCCCTCTTTTATATTTTTTATAACTTTTTATTTTTATTTTGTATACACCCCTCTCTATTTCTTCCATTTACTACCATACTTTCATTCCCTTTCTCATCTACTTCCTCTCTTTAATATTTCATTCCATCTTCATCTTCATCTCACTTAATGCACATTACTCTCTCTCTCTCTCTCCTTTTGTCTTTATTCTCTTGTTTTGAAGCTTAGTTCATTTAGGATCTTATTTGTCCCTTTACTCAAATAATTAGTTACTAATAGATAGTCTCCATGCTTTTCACCTTCTTGTTCTTTTTATTATTTATAGTTAAATTCTTTACTCATGTGTATCTTTACTTCCTTAGCTTGTTAGTTTATTTATGCTTATCTTCTCTCCTCCTTTTTCTAAATCTCTTTCCCTAAGATCTCTTTTTTGCCTTCAAACCCTCTTTATAAATCTTCTCGTTGAGTTCCAAGTTTGAAATAGGTGGGAAGCCAGCTTTGCTGGCATCCGCAAGGGATACGACCTGGTGGCCTTACTCTCCCTCGGAATGTAATTTGATGGGACCCATTCTCTTCCAACCCTTCGAATTATTTGCACCCAAAACCAATGCGAGGGTGAAGCCCCTTGCCCGGATTTTCAATAATAAACACATAGCATTTGGCGAGCGCACTGAAAGAAGGTGGTTCCTCAAGAATTCAGAGTAGGGAAGTTGGTAAAAAGAAAATGTTTCACTTGACAGTCCCTCACCCATTATGAAAATTCAAACCTAATTGGGGAGGGTCATAAGTCATAGTTCAAACCCACCTAGGCAATACCTACAAACTCAAAAATCATGAAGGACAAGAATTAAATAACCCATCAATGCCATGTACCTCAAGAGATTTTACTCCTACAATGTGAGTAGGACCCCAAAAGATCGCCATTAAAATTTGATACAGATCTTTGAAAAAGTTATCACATGGGTGTGGGACTTGGGTGAATGGGTTTATTGATAACTTTTCTAGATATCTGTGTCAAAATCTAATGGTGATCCTTTGGGGTCCTACTCACATGGGGGTGGGAGGGTCTCAGAGTATCATTACTCTATCTTCTATGAGTAATGATACTATGAGACCCTCCAAACCCATGTGAGTAGGATCCCAAAGGATCACCATTAAATTTTGACACAGATATCTAGCAAAGTTATCACATGAGTGTGGAACTTCGGTGAATGGGTTTATTGATATCTTTTCTAGATATCTGTGTCAAAGTTTAATGGTGATCCTTTGGGGTCCTACTCACATGGGTGTGGGTTTTCATAGTATCATTACTCTATCTTCTATAAGTAATGACACTATGAGAACCTCCCATACCCATGTGAGTAGGACCCCAAAGGATCACCATTAAAATTTGAGTTAAATCTTTAGAAAAGTTATCACATGGGTGGGGGCTTGACTGAATAAATTTTTTAGAGATCTGTGCCAAAATTTAATGGTGATCTTTTGAGATCCTACTCACATGGATGTGGGAGGGTCTCATAGTATCATTACTCATCTTCAATATATATAATGTGAGCAGGTTCCTGACCATGTGTCGATCAAGTGTTTCATCTCAGCTCCGGAGTTAGCCTCGGATTTTGGTTTGGATACCAAAATAAAGAGTAACAAAGCAACTTCGGTTGAACAATGCATGATCTTAGAAACTATGCCTCTCTCTCCCTCGTCACATAAAACCAGCACCACCTCTCTCTTCCCATAAAAGCAGCACTGCCTCTCTCTCTTCATAGAAAAACAACGAGCGATCCTCTCCTGCACCAGAAAACTCACGACGGGATCTCTCTCCACCATCGACTCTCTATTCCCACCGCATTCACGATGTTAAAGACAACATTTCAGGTATGAGATTTTATAACCTACCGTATATATACAGAAATGTTTTCTCAATAGATGTATGGAGCATAAAAGGAATATTTTTTAGGGTTTCCTCTCTTTTAAACTATTTTCTCTTTGACAAATAATACCATATATTGGAAAATAACAAAATGATGGGTCAATGCTTTCATCTCAGAGTTGAGGTAAGTTGCTCTGTTTATCAATGTAAATAGTTTACCCTAATTTTTTTTTCATAAATTTTTTTTTTTAGGAACCACTGATTCTGAAATTAGGGATTAATTGCAAATCATTTTTTTCATCTTTTTCACCTGATGATTATGGATAATAGAATTTTGTTTAGTGTTTGCATATGAAATCTCAAAGTGAAACTATAGATTTTTCATTTCACTTTTTCGTGGAATTTCTTTCATAAAAATCAGCAACAACATATTGAGGTTTTCAATTTTATAGCAAGTCCTAAATTGATTCCTTTGAAATTAGGGATTATACAAAATCAACAACAACATATTGATAATTTTGATGATTTATTGAGTAGGTTGAAGCTTTTGACTGTCAAAGTTGAGGTAAGTTGCTCAATTTGTCTCTGTATATAGATTTTAGCCAAATTTTTCTTTATAGAAGAGAATTTAGAAGTAAGTCTTGACTTGATTGCTCTGAAATTAGACAATAATTTAAAATTTGTATTTTTTATAGTATTCTGCTCGGAAAATGGGATGTTACTAGGTTTATCTCTGTGTGTAGATTTTGCCCGAATGTTTTCTTTGTGGAAAATAATTTTATAGCAAGTCCCCAATTGTTTCCTCTTAAATTAATGATTAATACCGAATTTGCATTTTTAAATGTGGTTTGTTATGAGATTGAGATGTTATGTGAAATTATGTTGAGGATTATGAGGAAAGGAATTTTTTAAATACTCTTATACAATTTTCTGATGTTGATTAAATGGCTTTCTCACATGAAATGTAGAACAATACCATATATTTGAAAATAACAAAATAATGGGTCAATGCTTGCATCTCAGAGTTGAGGTAAGTTGCTTTGTTTATCAATGTAAATATTTTATCCTAATTTTTCCTTCATGAAGATTTCTTTTTTTTTCTAGGAATTGCTGACTCTGAAATTAGGGATTAATTGCACATCATTTTTTCCAGCCTTTTCACCTAATGATTATGGATAATAGAATTTTGTTTAGTGTTTGCATCGCATCTGAAATCTTAAAGTGAAACTATGGATTTTTCATATCACTTTTTCGGGAAAATTTGTTTATAAAAAATCAGCAGCAACATATTGAGGTTTCCAATTTTATAGCAAGTCCTAAATTGATTCCTCTGAAATTAGGGATTATACAAAATCAACAACAACATATTGATAATTTTGATGATTTATTAAGCAGGTTGAAGCTTTTAATTATCAAAGTTGAGGTAAGATGCTCAATTTGTCCTTTTATATGGATTTTAGCCAAAGTTTTCTTTATGGAAGAGAATTTAGAAGAAAGTCTTGAATTGATTGCTCTGAAATTAGACAATATTTTAAAATTTGTATTTTTTATAGTAATATGCTCTGAAAATGGGATATTGCTTGGTTTATCTCTATGCGTAGATTTTGGCCAAATGTTTTCTTTGTAGAAAATAATTTTATAGCAAGTCCTCAATTGTTTCCTCTGAAATTAATGATTAATACCAAATTTACATTTTTAAATATGATTTGCTCTGAGATTGAGATGTTATGTGAAATTATGTTGAGGATTGTGAAAAAAAACAATTTTTTAATACTCTTAAACAATTTTATCGAATTTACATTTTTAAGTAGGGTTTGTATTTTTTTTTTTTTTTCTTTCTCAAAAGAAAATATGGTTTGCTCTGAGATTGAGATGTTATGCAAAAGTATGTTGTGGATTGTGAAGAAAAGAATTTTTTTAATACTCTTATACAATTTTCTAATGTTGAATAAATGGCTTTCTCATATGAAATGTAGAACATTTTTCCGATTTAAAAAAAAATCTAGAACCTCTTTCATTTTGAGCTACGACCTTGATCTCCAAGAAGCATTCTTCTCTCTCTTAAGATTTTCAGCTGAATGAGAGAGAAAAATTGTTTTGTTTTTATTTGAATTATAACAAACTTCATCAGAACTGAAGAAAGCCATTTCTAGAAGTACAAAACAACTAACTGGGTTATTAAGCGGTTTTTAATATTATTATAAGGCAAAGCTGAGGTAAATTGCTTTTTTTTTATCTACAAGAATTATTACATATATGACAATAGGTATATTAGAGATTATTTCTCACAACGAAATTAGATCTTAGAATTTAATAAATTTTGTTGAGCTATACTTGAAAGGAGAAAAAAGATATAGAAACAGAACATGCTGACCAAGTACAGACTTCAGAAAATCAGGAAGGTAAAAGGCAAAGCTGAAGTAAGCTGTCCTATTTTGGTCCATATGAAGTAATGTTTTTGCTATTAGATCGTATACACCAGATGTTGATAGGATATCTAGATGAAAACAACATAAATCTTAAGATTTTTCAAATATATATTTTCCTAAGCTACTAAATGAAAGGAAGAGAAAGATACAACCTAAGAAAATGGTAACAAAGTAGAAGGTTCAAAAAATCAGGAGGTTAAAACCAATGCTGAGGCAAATTGCTCTTTTTTGGTCCACATGAACTAAATTCTTGAAACCTCAGGTAAGTTGCTCCCTTCTTCTGTGCATGTTTCCTTTAAAAAATAAAATCTTCTAACAAGACATGAATTTTGTTATGGCATCTCTTTAAAACTACATTGGACTATAAAATTAGAGTTGTAATTTCATGAATCTACTTTTAAATTAAAATATTTTCTCTAAAAGTATTAATCAAATTCTTAGAACATGCTAACCAAGTTCAGGTTTCAAAAAATCAGGATGTATCTTAAATATTCTTAAATACTACATCGTACTTAGATAAATTTTTCTTGAGCTATTATTCAAAGGAGAAGAAAGATTTAGACACATAACAAGCTGACCACGAACAAACTTCAGAAAATCAAGAAGGTAAAAGTAGAGTTGAGGTAAGCTACTCTTATTTGGTCCATATGAAATAAATTTTTTAATGTTAGATTGTACACACCAAATGTGCGTAGGATATCTAAATCAAATGTAAATCGTAGGATTTTCCATATGTATTTTTCTTAGCAACTATTTGAAATCCGATTAGTACCTTGGGCGTTTAGATTATATCTGAATGTATCTCTAAGATTCTTAGATAGTACATGCTACATATTGATGGGATGTCTAGCTCACAAGAAAATTTAAACTTAGAATTCTTTATATTTCTTGAGCTACTATTCAAAAGAGAAGAAAGACTTAGATAAAGAACATGCTGACAAAGTACATACTCAAAGAATAAAAAAGGTAAAGGTAAAGTTGAGGTAAGCTGCTCTTTTTTGAGTCCATATGAAGTAAATTTTTTTATTGTTAGATAGTACACACTAGATGTTAGTAGGATGTTTATATCAAACAATTTAAACATTAGGATTTTCTATATGAATTTTTGTTGAGCTACTACTTGAAAGGAAGCGAAAGATTCAGATGGAGAAGATGGTAACTTGAGATAGAAGATTAAAAAAATCATAATGATAAAAGCAAAACTAAGGCAAGTTGTCTTTTTTGATGTGCATAAAGTAAATTCATGAAACCTCAAGTAAGTTTCACTCTAGATTCCCACATAAAGTAAATCTTTAGATGATATTTCATATGTCTATTGTATAGTAGAACTTCATATTCTTAAATATGACATCGCCTTGATCTTTGTAGGGCGACCTTATTACAAGTAAACAAAGTTGACATTAAAAACACCAACTCATTAAATAACATGTAATGTTTATTAATTTTATTTTACTATTTATATAATTGTTTATATGGAGCAAAAGAAAATTTTCTATACAAATTATGTTTGAATTTCAAATTAGCACTTTTAAATAGGTTTACCTCGAGGCTTGAAATGTCCTTTGAAATTATCATTTATAAAGGTTCCAATCAAGATTTTCTTTGGAAAAATCCTAAAAGTATAAAAAAAAATAACAGGTATAACCGTTTCTATATGTCTTTTGAACTTCTCCTAAATCTTTACTTGAAAGGGATTGTTGTGTGTGCATCTTCTATCTCATACTGCTTATTCATTAGAAAGGTACTTTAATGTAACTTTTCCAAATTATATGTACAATAATATTATTTTTGTTCATTATTATAGGAAAATGCTGATATTAGCCCACTAGCTCATATGAACATATGAGCCCAACGACCCAAATTTAATATGGGCCGATCTGATGGTCACGACCTCATTTCATATTTGAATTTTAATTATTTTTCTATGAATTCAAATAATTTGAATATTTAGGCATGTATTCTTCTCATCAAGTCGCACTTAATAAAAATATTTTAAAAATAATTCGTAAAACATAAATTGACCAAAATACCCTAGAAACGTTTCAGGGGTATTTTGGTCAATTTATTTCTTACAAAAGAAAATTATATATTTTTATTAGATTCTCAATTTTTTGAAGAATACGCGTCTAAAATTTTAAATTATTTGGATTTTTATAAAAAATATTAAAATTCAAATACGAAATGAAGTCATGACCATTAGATCGGTCCAGATTCAATCTGAACCGTTGGGCTCATATGAATACATATGTTCATATGAGCTAGTAAGCTAATCTCAGTATTTTTTATATATAAGGAAAGACATGGATAGTAATTGTACTTGCTTCAACAAATGAAAATCTCAAACCAACTGACTGACTTTATTTTTTTGTATGTTAATAATTATTTATAAGCAGTACTGACATTTATTTATTTACAGGAAAATTTTAGACAGTCAACAATTTGGAAAGCTTAAAGACATTTGCAAGCAAAGGTACAAACCATATTAATTCGATTTGTTAACTATTTTGTAGTTATATATCTTCGCTACAATGTCCATCATCATTGTAATCATTTTTTTACTCTCTTAGATCAGGTATTACAATGGCACTCACGTTCTTCTCCAATAATTTTTTACTAATCAGTATCTTTTTTCTTTCAAGGCATAATAATGCCGCATATAGGGAAGCAAAAACAAACACCAATATGCAAGCAATCTAGGGAAGATCATTATGCAACATAAATGCGTACCATAACTAGAACACACGACAAACAAAAGATCAAACATACCACACAAGATGATACATTAGTTCTCAAACAAATTTTCAATACAGATTTCGAATTTATGAAAAACTACTTAAGGATACTTTCAATTTGCTCACATTGTCACGTGATGAGACTACAATATGAGCCACCCAACTTTTGTTGCTACAAGGAACATATTCTACTATCATACACAGAGACTCCTTTAGAAATATGGGAATTATTTATAGGATCATTGCAAAATATTCCAAGCAAATACCTGAGAATATAATTCATTGTTTCAGTTCACTATATTCTCAGTGCCTGAAACAATGGAAAATCATTGTCACAGAAAATGAGTTTACATATTTAAAACAAGAGGTCAGGTATACCCCTATGTTCCATAATTGATTCCAAAAATTGATAAAACCGAGATTTCTACAATTATATTATTATTACGATACAGAAAATGAGACAAGCAACAGATTACACCAAATAAGCAATTTAGATCCAATAGTAGTTGAACACATTCAAACCACATTAAGAATATACAATCCTTTTATGAAAGTGTTTGGAAATCTTGTTGAAATCGAAAAACTTAAAAGAACATAAGATAGTGTTGGAACAAAATAATAACCTACATCAACGAGTAAACAACAAACCTACTGCATCACAAGTGGCAGCAGTTTCGATTACTGTAAATGAAGATAAAGAACTTGGAGTATGAACTGTGTCAATCTAATCACGATCAAACAACTTAGAAACAATACCTGATTACTACAGATGCTATGATCCACTACAATATCTCTTACAATCCCCTTTTGGTGAATACGGATGGTAAAATAATATATTGAAGATACAAAATGATAAATTTCGGAAAAAACAAAATGTCTCATGTAGAGAATATTACTGTTACAAGTTACAAATTCGACCTGAGTATTTAGAGAAAAATTTCAAGACCTCAAATGAACTACATTAGAAAAAAACATTTTCGGAACAATTTTTTCTTATGTTTATGTCATTGAATTCTAAAAACGAGAGTTGCCACATGCACATATGCGACTAATTTTAAAAAATAATGACAAAATTAGATCTAGTGATCATGTTGAGAAAATAGTCTCTGCTAAAATACCAAATAAAGATATTTATCCTATTTGATATGAACGAGTCAAGAAACACATGATTGATGGACCGTGCGGAATCGGAAAAAGAACATAATGCTTACGAAATAATGAATGTAAAAACACTACCCAAGAAATCATTCGGAAACTACAACATTGTCATATAGAAACTTTTCAATTTACAGAAGGTCAAAACATTGTACCCCTTTTCTACTTGGTGATGAGACAATTGACAGTAAATGGGTAGTTCGTTACAATCCTAATCTCCTATTAAAATATAATTGTCATATTAATGTAGAAATGTGTTCCACCATCAAATTTGTTAAATATCTATCTCTCTTTCTCTCTCTATATATATATATATATATATATATATATGGGATAATCTAAACTTCACAACCCTTCAAATTACAAAGGATCAAGATAGAGAGAGTTGTGAACGGTGGCTTTATTAATTTTATAGTCTATTTTTTAAAAAAAATTTACTTTTGGGAGGCAATTTTATAATTATTATTACAAGACAAAGGGTACTTTTCTCATCTCTATAAGGGATAAACTTGAAATTTTAATTAAAGGATAATGACACTCTACAAATAAACATTCAGGACACTAACTTCCAAAATGCCATTGTACTTTTGTAAAAATTTCAAATTTTCCCTTGCTTAATAGTAAAGTTATCTATTTAAATAATTTTTTAATAAAAAAATAATGATTGTTTTGATAAATACACCCATCACAAATCCTTCTAACTTGAACATTTGTATTTTGAGGGGTTGTTAACTCTAGACAAACCATATATATATATATATATATAAAGGACATGATAAAATCAAAATTATCATAGCTCCTAAAAACGAAAATACAACTATTGATGAGATAAAAGAATTTCGTAATGCACGATGGGTACCACCACCGGAGGCAGCATGGAGAATATTTGGATTTGACCTAAATTATATGACACCTTCAGTTTATCGACTTCCATTACATCTGCCAAACGAACAATCTTGACATTTCAATTAAGATCGAAATTTGTATAATATATTAGCAGATCCCAACATACACAAAACGAAACAAATAAAGTTCTTTAAAGCCAATAGATATTTTTATATTTTAAATACAACGAGTATTTTTTACTTTAAACTATATTGTTTATGTTGGTTACTCAATTAAAATGTATTTGTCAAATGCAAGCGGACACGTGTGGATCAATGAATAACATATCAGAACTTCCTAGAAACACATACATGGAAAGAAAAAACCAAAGCATGGTTGAAAAAAGAAATAAAAAAGTTATTGGAAGAATCTATATGGCGAATCCTACATATGGTGAAAAATACTATTTATGACTTCTACTAAACCATGTAAAAGGACCTCCCTCTTACAAAGACTTACTAACAATTGACAATTATATATGTTCAATATTAAAAAAAAGTACAGATAAAAATACAATTACTCGAGGGTAATAATGATCTCTTAGAATGTATCAAAGAATGTATTAATTATAAAATGCCATATGCTTTACGTCAACTAATAATAACTATATTATTACATTGCAATCCAAATAATACAAAAGAACTATGGGATTTTGCTTACAACGCAGTAACAGAGGATTTGAAATCAAGAACTTTAAAGGATGAACACATCTTAGTATATTTAGTTCATGAAATGAATAGACTAATGGCATACTTTGGGAAATGTTTTGTTGATTTTGATCTCCCTGAACATAATTACAATGGTCACTTGAATAGACTCAATGAGGAACAAATGTCAATTCCAATATTAGAACAAGATGAAAAGTTATATCTTCAGTTAAATGAGGAACAATAATCGGCTTATAAGACTATCAAACATGCAATAAAAAAAGGCAAAAAATTGTTTCTTTGTTGATGAACCTGGAGGAACAGTACAAACATTATTATATCGTGCCTTATTAGCATTTATCCATAAAAAAAGAAATATTGCTTTAGCTACTGTATCATCAGGAATAGCAGCAACTAACCTTCCTGGAGGTACTACAGCTCAAACAAGATTTAAAATACCTCTAAATCCTAAAAACAACTCAATTTGTAGTATCTCAAAACTAAGTGAAACTGCAACACTCTTTAGAGAATTAGTTACAATTATATGGGATGAAGCTCCAATGATATCAAAATATGCCTTTGAATGTCTAAATCGATCCCTGCAAGATATCATGTCAAACAATAATCTATTTGGTGGAAAATTGTTATCCTCGGAGGAGACTTTAGACAAATACTACCAGTTATTTCAAGAAGAACTCGAACCGAAATAGTCAATTCATGTTTAACTAAATCTATCTTATTGCTAATGATTACAACATTCAAACTACATAAAAGTATGAGAGCACTTCATGATCCTGAGTTTGCCTCATATTTAATTCGTATTAGAGATGGAATTGAAAAAACGTATGACAAAGAATTTGTTCGATTACCAAATGAAATAGCATTCAATGTGATGGATGAAAAAAATGAAATTTACAAGTTTACAAGAGAAATTTTTAGAGATTTTTCAGCTGTTATGGACACTTGCATATTAGCCAAGAAAAATGATATTGTTCATGAAGTAAATGATATTGTTATATCAAATTTTTCCAAAGAAGAACAAATCTATTATAGTTTTGATTCTGCTATAGATGATAAATACAGCTTATCCTCAAAAGAATACATCAACTCTCTAAAACCAAGTGGGCTGCCACCACATATACTACGATTAAAAAAAAGTGTACCAATAGTCCTCTTACGAAACTTAAATCCAAAACATGGAATGTATAACGGTACAAAACTTATTTGGAAATCATTTCAAAGAAATCTAATAGAAGCTAAAATTCCTTCAGGAAGCCATGCCGGAAACATAGTATTTATTCCAAGAATTCCACTACAACCTTCTGAAGATATAATAAGCTTACCAATAAGCTTTAAAAGAAAACAATTTCCAGTTCACTTAGCATTTGCAATGACTATCAACAAATCACAAGGACATACAATACAAAATGTGGGAATCTATCTACCAGATGATGTGTTTAGTCATAGACAACTTTATGTAGTATTATCTTGAGGAACATCTATGAAGAATACTAAAATATTCACAAAAAGAAAAATATTCAACATATCAAGGGTTACTGCACAAAAAACATTGTCTACACAAAAATATTTTCGTAACAATGTAATTTTCTTCATTATCTATTGATATTTATCTTCTATACATATAGTCAACATGATCTTCTCTCATTTATCAACATTTAATAGTGTTATTTCACTAAGTAATGTATCTTCCTTTTTTTGGTCACGGGAAATGGCAGCATCATCATTGAGTGGTAAATAAGCTTGACTTATACTTGATAAAAAAAATTTAGTGAGTAACTTATATTTTTCATCATATAATTCACTGAATTTTAGAGGGTGCTGATATTATCGCAACCATTTTTCATAGAGACATTGACTTATTCAAATCAAACTTGAAGGAGGGAAACTTATACCGAATCCACAACCCAAGAATCAATCATACTCCTCAACAGTACATGCTAATTGACAATCCTCTAGATCTAACCATATACTCTGATATAACCTTAATTTCACTTGAAAATGAAGAAGACTTCCCTCTTGAAAAGAAGTACCAATTCAAGGACTTCGACTCACTTTCTCAATATCTAAGAATCACCACTACTGTTCGTAAATATTTTTATAATCGCATGATAACATTCTTCATTCACATACTTCATGTATGTTCATTTTTGTTTCTTTCATGATTGCATACATCCTTCTCATCATAATGGATATCGGAGAATGTGTAACAGCGCAAAGAAATAACAATACTTTAGTGTCATTAAGAAATGTTCATATCATGAATGACAAGTACGATAACTCATGTTTTCATACTACATATACTATACTTTATCATTCCTTCATGATACAATAATTATTTTATTTCTAAAAATAACTTTACTATTTTGTCAACAGAGGAGACACTACATGTCAGCTTATGGGCAAATTTGGCAGATACAGGAGTGGAAGCAAGTTTAATTAGAAAGCCAGTCATATTCACATACATGAAAATCCAAGACTACTACAGAGGTAAACTTCACATATTAAATTGTTCTATTAATATAATTTGTAAGAATTCATATTCATCTCAATCTTTTATGGCAGCTTTTCAAATAAAGTCGACCCCAATAACAAAGATCATTTCAGAATCCCTTGATCCAAATATTCGCTTCATGGTATGTTCAATAACTTATTCATTACATGCCTTACATTAAAGAATTTCATCCTCAATTTTTTCATCTATTATAGTTCATTCAATAGTGAATTTGTACAATCCCAAGTTATGCTCGAAACACAAATTTCAATAACCCCAAACTTGAGTATGTCAGAAGATGAGTAGTTATCTTTCAAAGCAATCCAACAAATTACAATAGAAGATTTCATACAGGTACACAATCTACTTTCTCATGACCTAATCTTTTCCTCTCCAAACTCTCTGGCTTTAAACTCAGAGGTGCCCAAAGAAAGGTATCCAGTTATTTGTGAGAAAACGGAGGCTAAGAAAATGTAGACTTCATTGGATTAAGAAGAGGGGCTTATTCATGCCTTGAAGGGTGAAGGCTCTTCTTCTGATCATGGCATGATAAAAAGTTCTGCTTCGAAGGCTGAACCTGCGGTAGATGAACTCAGGAAGGTAATAGGAAAATTCTGCGCCGAGGAGAAAGATCCTCTGACGGTTAACTCATCCACTGTAGTTGTTGTGTTAAAAATGGATTCGTTGGCTACATCATTACTCACCGAAGCTGACATAAACACTAGGCTTGCCATCGTCCATGATATATTGGATAGAGGCGAGTTCTCTTATGGTGATCCTCCTGAGTCCGGACTTCCAGCTTTGCCAGTCAAGTTTGATAGGACCAAACTTCCAAGTATTCGAAAACTCCTTTTTTATTATTTTGAGAGGGACCTAATCAGTCCAGTTTATATTTCTTACTTTTTCATTGTGATTTTCAGGTTCAGCCTTCACTTAGACCACAGACGGGGCTAGGATTTAGGCTACTCAAGCCTCTCTTGATACTGTTGTGCCACAAGGAAGCCCAAAGGATGTTGTTGGTGCAACTGTGGCAAGCGCTGAAGCTGTGAGCTCTGCAACTCACCTTTTGGGTACTAAATTTGGAGGGGCCAAGATCAAGGTTCTCAAGGTATCGAGCACTACCGAGGTCCCTGAGGTGTCGAAACATGATCTCCTAGAGGACTTGGTTGCGCTTGTTGAGGATCTCTAGAGCCTTGTAGAGTCAATGCTCAAAGATCCTTCTTTAATCAGTAAATTTCAGAGGGAGATGAGTGCCAGTGTAGTGAGGACACTCTTCAGAGCGATTGGGAACAACTCCCTATTTGACCTTCAAGAGATTTCCTCGACAATATCTCAGATGATATCATGGGTCGGGTCAATAGGAGCTGTTGAAGATAAGCCCCATCGGCTAACTGACTGGGTCACTCAAGACACTCAAGTCATAGCTTCTGACCAAGAGAAACGCTCATACATTCCCTATCTTAATAAGCAAAGGGGAAGAAGCTTATGCTAGGCTCGAAGAAGCAGCTATAAAATAAGGCAGGGCTTGGAGGTCATTCAGAGCCTGGTGGAGAATCTTTGTGACCAATATGATTAGGCGGAGGCTCGTAAGAACGTAATTTTGAACTTTATTGATAAAACTGAGACCCTGCTATCAGCATAAAAGAGAGAACTCAAGAGGGTTGCAGCCCATTCATGCCATCTTGTCGAAAGAGTGGAAATCTCCTACCCTGAGGTTATCAACCAACGTCGTTGGTGGGATACGATAACATTTGCAACCTCCATTGTTGAGGAGGGTCTTGCACAGATGAGGGCTGACATGGAGACAATCAAGCAACATGTGAAAGAGAAGACCCCGAAGGCTGGAAAAACTTCTACATTGCTTCAAGAGTTTCTGAGTCATCTTCAATTGTTCTTCTTTTCCTTTCTTCTGAACTCTGTGATTGTTTGTAATGGAATTGTGCTTTCCTCTCGAGATGCTTTCCTTTTGTTCTCTTTAACTTTTAAAATTCGACAAATACATTTGATGCTTCTGAGACTTCAAAGGAATTTATGCAGCATCTCACCAATTAGCACGCATTCTTGCCTACTTCGAACATAGGCTTTGATTAGGCACTCCCCAATCTTCATGCCTCCCTTTTTGTAGAGGGGTATGAGTGGTCTGATACTTCGTGGTTCTGAAAACCTCCAGAGAAAATAAACTAAACATCGTAGTTTAATGTCTTTCGGGAAGACCATATGCAAAGCCTTCCTAACCCTTTTATAAAAATGGCATGGTGGCCAATACTTAGAACCCTAAGACTCCAAGGAGTACTGTAGTTTTTAGTCATACATGAAGGACAATCTGACGATAATTTAGGTCAAACGTTGTGGGCCTATCGATGGGCCTTTTAGGGATGCATCTCAGACCTTAACAAGACTCGGTTTATAGTCATGAATAGGGACTTTGTGGCGGATGTTATGTAACATCAAGGCCTGGTCTTTCAAAAGAGACCCAATGTGTGCTAGATAATTTAGAGTCTTGCAGCTCGGACGAAATGATAGGTAGTTTAAAGTCATACATCACAGACTCTATGATAGGTAGTTTAAAGTAATACATCACAGACTATATGATAGGTAGTTTAAAGTCATACATTACAAACAATCATTGGATCTTTGAAGGATAGTATTGTTTCAAATACCTTCTATTGATTGGAGGCATGACGTCTTCTCCCATCTCGGTACAGAGGAGGTATGCTTCGGTTGAGTATACTTTCTTAACGACATACGGTCCATCCCATTTGGGTTGAAACTTAGATTGAGGTTCGCCAATATGACGTCTCATGGCTAAAACCAAATCACATGGTTTGAAAGACCGTATCCTGACCTTCTTTTCAAAAGCTCGGCTTATTCTGACTTAACACACTTCTAGCTTTTGTTGAGCTACCATCCACTTTTCATCTAGTGTGTTCAACTCATCGGAGTTTGACTCACCCGTCGTTGGCTAGTCCATAATGCACTACCATCCTTAAAGAGGGTATCTGAACCTCCAAAGGAAACACCACTTCTGCCTCATAGACCAACGAATATGGGGTTGCTGAAGTAGCGTTCTTTTTCGTCGTCCGATAGGCGCAAAGTGCCCCAAGGAATCTTTTGTGTCAATCACGCTAGCCTGCCTTTACAGTATTTTTCAATATCTTGGAAAGGCTTTTGTTGAAGGCTTCGACTTGTCCATTTGCCATTGGGTTGTACATGGACGAATACCTCTCGTCGATATTAAACTTACTGGTCAATTGGCGAATGTGATCATTCTTAAATGAAGAGCTGTTGTCGGATGTAATCCTATCCGGTATCCCGAATCGATGCACAATATGGTGGCGAACAAAATTGGCCACTATCTTATCAGTAACTCTTCGTAGTGAGATGAATTTAGCCGACTTAGAGAAGTAGTCAGTAGCCGTTAATATATATAAATGGCCATTTGCTAATGTTGGGGTAATGGGTCCCACGATATCCATTCCCCACTAAGAAAAGGCCAAGCCATAAGAGTAGGATGCAACAGTTCTAGTGCTTGGTGAATGTAGTTGGTGTGTATTTGATGCGCATGACATTTTGTTGCATATTTAATTGCATCTTTGGCCATAGTGGGCCAGAAATACCCCATCTGATGCAATTGGTGGTATAACTTGGGTCTAGACTGGTGCATGCCGCACACCACATCATACACTTCCTTTAATGTTGTTTGTCCATCCTCGTATGAAAGGCACCTTAGCAACATTCCATCATATGACCTTCTATACAGCGGATCATTCAGGAGGGTAAATCTCATGGCTCACCTTTAAAGGCCACCATGACTTTTCTAACCTTAGGGAGTTGGCCATGGACCAAGTATTATAGGAAAGGTTGAAGCCAACCTGGTTGGTGGTCCTCTGTCACTGCAACGATATCATCAAGGGCGGGTTCCTTGATCAATTTCCTCATATCTCCTTGAGGGTATGGATCCCATCCACATGTTTTCTTGATGTTTAGTATCTGCCTCAACCATTACAAGGACAGATCGTCATTCTTGGGCGAGGATCTGAAGTGGTACCCTAGGCTTGATGATCATGATGGCTCCCAGTTTAGCTAATGCATCAGCTTGAACATTTGATCCTTATGGAATATGGTTCAGAATGACATCATATATCTTTCCCAAGAGGTATCTTGTGGTGTTATAATATGGCTTAAGTTCGTCTTTGCGGACTTCGTATATCCCTTTTAGCTATTGGACGATCAGTTGGGAATCACTAAATATGTGAAGGGACTTTAGGTCTAGTTATAGTACCATGTCTAGATCAATGATCAGGTATACTACCTCATTATTTGAGCATTTCTCGTTTATAAGGCAAGAATCCTTTATCTGGTGCGACGAATATTACACCTGCTCAGGTGCCTTTTGCTTGGGAAGCATCATCAAAGAACATTTACCACGAGGCAATATGATTTATACACATGACTCCCTCATCAGGCAGGTCTTCATTCAAAGGGGACCCTTCAGGCAAGGGATGAGCGGCCAAGAAGTCGACCAATACAAGTATTGAGTGGAACGAGTCCTGCCAAAATGCCTTCCATAAGGAGTAATGTCCACTTAGCTAATTGACCAAAAAGGACTGATCTTATCATGACATATTTAATTGGATCAACTCGGGAACTCAACTGCACTAGGTGGGCAAGCATATAATGTCATAGCTTTTGGAATGCGAACACTAGTGCCAAGCACATTTTCTCAATAGGAGAGTAATTATGCTCGACCAGCATCATTGTGCGGCTCAAATAGTACAACTCTACTTCCTTCCCTTCTTCATTATGTTGAGCTAGAAGGGCACCCAATGATCCCTCCAAAGCCGTCACATATAAAATGAATAGTTTGTCGAGTACAGGAGTTGTGAGAACCGGCGGGTTCAGCAAATAGTCCTTGATGTCCTGGAAGGCATTTTGGCAGGACTCGTCCCACTCAAAGGGGACGTCTTTCTACATGAGCCTAGAAAATAGCTTGCATCGACCTGAAAGATTGGAACTGAACCTTGGATGTAAGTCAAATGACCTTGAAGAGATTTAAACTCCCTCGAGTTCCTAGGTGGAGGCATTTCTTAAATGGCACGTATTTTGGTCGAGTCTATTTCAATTCCCTAGTCCCTTACAATGAAGCTTAGAAATTTCTCTGATTTTACCCTGAAGGTGCAGTTCAAGGGGTTCATCTTTAGTTGATGTCCTCTCAACCTTTTGAACACGACTTCCAAACCCGTAAGGTGAGTGGACCGATTCTTTGACTTGACCACAAGGTCATCGACATAATATTCCACAACATCATGGAGTATGTCTTCAAATATAATCGTCATGGTGCGCTGATAGGTAGAGCCAACGTTTTTCAATCGGAAGAGCATCAACTTATAATAATATATCTTCTTCGTGGTCCTGAAGGTTTTCGACTCTTCATCTTCAGGAGCATCCTAATTTGATATTAGCCAAAATACCCATCCATAAATGAGAAGGTTTCACATACTATAGTCGAATCAATCATGATCTCTGTGAGAGGTCAAGAGAAGTCGTCTTTAGGGCAAGCAGAGTTGAGGTTGTGAACATAAATGCATACCCTTATTTGCCCATTCTTATTTTTACCTGATACAATATTAGCAAGCCACTTAGGGTATAAGACTTCCCTAATGAAATTGGCTTTAACTAATTTGTTAACCTCAGCCTCAATCTGGGGTGCTATATCCAGATGAAACTTCCTCTCTGCTTGCTTCACTGGTTTGATGTGAGGATTGACAATAAGCTTGTGAGTTTCCATGGCGAGGCCCAACCCCGGCATCTCATGGTAGTTCCATGCAAAGATGTATCGATTAAGATGGAGGAAGTCAATATGTTGCTCCCTTTCTTCTAGTTCTAAAGATGAACTCAGAAAGGTGGTTCTATGATCTCCTTCTCCACACAACTTGACTTCTGTCAGCTCGTCAACTGTGGCCTATCCTCCATCCTCCAGTTGGCGTGGGGTAAGTTCCATCTCATCTTTTGAACCTGAAGTCTAGTCATCGTGGCTGCTTAAAGATGTCAGAGCACATTGGACTGTCCATTTCGTTTTGTGAATATTCTCTGAGCCAGTCCTAAGAGTCAAGGTATAGCCGAGCCCCTAAGTATTGATTTTCTTTCGAGACACATCTTCAATTGCTTAAAAAAGCGATATCATTCCTTTTTCGCTATTTAGGCCATGATCAGTAGATGGGTCATAATTCATACTTCTCATGATCCTGTGAGCTTGAGGGCTATAGAGGGACTATTGTGGCTTTGAAGCTCCGTCTTTCAAGGGACGAGGCTCATATTCCTCATGTCGTCCTTTGAATTTTGTCTTTAAGAGAGAATAGAGTACGCTGTCTTTGGTCTGCTACGGCGTCCCTAGCTCGACACTCACCGAAATGATGGTAGTGAGAGGCTTCGCTCCTTCTTCGACATCTAAGCCTTTGAAGGCTTTGATCAATGCTTACTCAACCCCTCACTTCCTGATTCCTCAATGGAGAGGGGGTCAGGATTCTCAAGATTATAGAATTTAGCATCTGCATAATGGGACTCTACCTTAGTGAAGCATTGTCGATCGACATAGACCGTATGTTGCTTTCCTTCTTGAAAATATTTGTAGCATTGATGCAAAGTCGAGGGGATGACACCATTGTCATGTAACCATCGGCGCCCTAGCAACACAATGTAGGATGCCTCAGTTTCGATGACCTGAAATGTCACGTAGGCCTCAAGCTCACCAGTTTTGAGCTTCAATGTAATGCTCTTGATAGCCTGTTGAGTAGCCTGGTTGAAACCTTGTATCACCATGTGCCCTTCCTACAAGTTATGAACATCCATCCCTACAGACTTCAACGTTCTTAAGGGAAGTAGATTTATAGTTAATCCACCATCGATCATTAGCTAATACCATCAAAGGGTGATTATGGGGATTCATCCCTAGTTGTAGATCTATGTCAGAAAAGGTGACTGACATAGTTTCAGGCAAAAACTTATGGGTCAAGTTCAACTTGGTCCACTTCGGATTGAAATTCTTCAAGAGATGAAAGGGCTTGTATCAAAGCAGCCCGAAATTCTTTTGAAAGTAACAGGGCATCATAGACACTTATGGCGGTTGGGATTCTCCTTAAATGAGAAGCCACATTGTAATCGTTAGTCTTTCCATCTGTCAACTGTTTTGAATATCCAACAACATTAGATGCTTCGGCCCGTGTCTCTACCATAGACATAACCTTCTTAGGGGCATTGGCTTTATGTGGCTTAATCTTTGCAGTCTTCTTGTAGGATCTCAGCTCCAACTACATGGTCTGGGGCTTGGAATCAGCATCGACTACCCAAGTCACATTGACAATGGTTCCCAGAGGGACTTCGTTTGGTACCTTTGACTTATGAAGACTGTTCATCATCAAGGGTCTGGGCATAAAGTCTTTCAAAGTAGGATGAGGTCATACTGTTGAATGGGGGGCCTCCGTTTCTTCCTTTCTTTGTCTTCTTACCCTGGTCTGTAACATTTTGAGGTATGGGAGGAGCCTTCGCAACTCTGCTTGCTTGGAATAATGCCATTTTGAGCTCCTTCAACCCGGCTCTTCTTAGAGGTTCAGCTTGCATGCACTTCTTCTCACCACGGCTTACATAAGTAGTCCAGTCGTGCTCTGATACTTCCTCAGTATCAATTGAGGAGTTGAGAGTCTCATAATATTATGAGCATAGCTCGAACAATTCTGAGTGAGGACAACCTTCGACCTTCTTTAATATAGGGACCTGGTGGGTCCGACGTTCAAGAGAGATAAGATCGATGACTATGGTCCCCTCATTTATGTACCCTTGTATCAAATCCTTTACTGACCAACAATCTTCTAGCATGTGGGTACGAGCATAGTGGTATTGGCAGTAAGGGGCTCCTTTTAAGGGAGGCCTTCTTTTTTATGTTTTCCACCTTTTTGTAGGGGGATAAGTCCCATAATGAGGAGATTCTCATATATGGATGGTACCATAGCTTTATCAAAGTCATAGGGCCCTTGGTATAAGAGGTTCTCAACTACCGGTTGAGGTCTGGGTTCACCCATCATGAAAGAAACCATGGTGGCTGTCACAGTCTCGGCATCTAGTGTTTCTTGCTCATCACACTTGAACTTCCCGTCCTTGATGAGACCTTCGATGATATCCTTTAAGGGATAGAAATATTTTATCACATGTCCTCCAATCCAATGGAATGGGCAGTAGTCAATTCGATATATTTGACCGACTTGCTCGGGGTATCTTGACGCAAGTAGCGTAATGGTGCCAGCCACTAGTAGCTTTTCGAAGATCTCAAGAACCTAGTCTTTGTCGAAGGAGTACTTCCTATCGATGCAATCACGGTATCCACCTCTTCCTCATCCATATCCCGTCGATAGTGGAGAGTCATAACTTCTAGGCGGTGGATAATTCCTTCCTCTCCCAATTTGGGTGACCACCGAAGTAGTCATGGAAGTTTTAGATTGAGCTGCTTTAGCTTTACCTCTATCTGCATCCCTCCTAACGATTACTGACTTCAGGTCTAGGCTAAAACCTTCCATAAGACTTTCTAGGATAATTGCATTAGTTACTAAGTCGTTGAATTTTTGGGATTTGGAAGCATGCGAGTGTACTGCAATGTCGAATCTCATGTTTTAAATGAACATGAGCACCTCTTGCTCCTCAGGGGGAGGGATTGCCTGCCCTATGCTGATATTTTGCCACCGAGTGATATAGTCTTGCACAGGTTCATGATCCCTCTACTTCACATTGAAGAGTTCAGCCAAGTGGACCACCCTTTATGTGTTGTGAAACCTTACCAAGAATGCTTCTTGCATTTGATTCCATGTAAATATGATCTCATGAGGTAGTCGCAAGTACTAGGAGAAAGATCATCCTGATAATGACTGTACAAATTGTCGCATCAGAAGGTTCCCATTACTGGCTGAGTCTACGCACACCGACATGAAGTGGTCTAAGTGTTTATGACGGGAGCCTTGCCCATCAAGCTTTGGGAATTTGAGCTGCTGGTATCACGTGGGACACAACACTGCATCAACATATGCGGGGTATGGTTTTCGATAAGTGTCAAGGGCTTGTACCCTCAGAATATGGAGTGATCATAATTTCTCCATCATCAAGTTTCGCACCATCTCCTTCATTAAGGCAGTGTTAATTGGAGATTAAAGCGACGTAGATGCATGGGCTGATTAGTTCTCCATGGCTGGATTTGAGGACTATTGTCATGAAGGGCCACTAGAATTAGGAGCTTCTATAATGCCTCTCAACGCCTCGAGTTTGGCTGTCTGAGCTCGTAACACTGCTTCTTTCTGGGCCAACATTACCCTAAGGCACTCTATTTCTTTAGTTTCAGGCAGGTCGTTCCCTGTTTCCATCATCAGTACGCTGACGACAGGGTATTGTTCAAATGGTCCAGTGAACTCATTATCCAAGGCTAATGCAGTGTATTCGGGGAATTTGAAAGCGAAGGACAATGGAGGCACAAAGGGATCCTAAGCCTTAGAGACACTACACGTGATGTGTGGATTTTCAATAATTAGATGACCCCTTGCCTTCTTTGCAAGAGGCCTAGCAGGTGAGAGATCCTCATTAGACGAGAGGGATGAGAAATCGTCAAAACCTAGTGCGATCTTGTCTGTCAAGGTTTCTTCATTTTCCTCAAGATTTTAGGTGGTTGCCCCGATCATGTTACATGGCCATACCACAAAAACGTCATCTCCTAGATCGTGCGAGACCTCGTTCTAGATCAATCCCAGTCTGCATCCTTGTTGTGGTCATGTACGACACTGATATGCTCGCATGGCTTCCCTTGCTTTGCTCAGGACATACTATGTAAAAACTATGTGCACATGCTTGAGAACTATCTAATTATGCGCCTTTTGAGCTTGTTTGTACCTTTTGGACTCCTTCTTGGGAACAATAGGAGGCTTGTAATCGCCTTACCCCAAATCTCATTCTACTACAGTGATTTGTGAATGTACAATACGAGATGACCACTGGCATCTGCGTTGTATACGACGATCTAGGAAGGTTAGCATCGCGAGGATTCCTAACGTCTAACCAGGTGTCTGGGCATGAGTTCGGTGGATTAGGTCCATAGGAACGTCTAACCAGGTGTCTGGGCTACATACATACGACGATATAGGCAAGTTAGAATCACGAGGATTCCTAACCGCGAGCCTGGGTGTCACGTGAGTTGGGCAAGTCAGGTCCATAGGAACATCTAATCGCTGGTGTTTGGGCTACATACAGTGATCTAGGCAAGTTAGCATCGCAAGGATTCCTAACCGTCAGTTGTTGGGTGTCTTGTGAGTTGGGCGAGTGAAGTCAATAGGAACATCTAACCGCCAGTGTCTGGGCTGCATACGGCTATCTAGGCAAGTTACCATCATGAGGACTCCTAACCGCCAGCTGATAAGTGTCGTGTGAGATTGGCGAGTTAGGTCCATAAGAACGTTTAACCACCGGTGTCTGAGCTGCATACGACAATCTAAGCACAGCATCGCAAGGATTCCTGAGCACCAACATATGGGTGTCATGTGAGTTAGGTGAGTTAGCTTCATAAGAACATCTAACCGCCAGTATTTGGGCCTCCTTGACAGCTGAGCGTGAAACTCGTATGATCAAAGGCAAGAAACAGGAGCCCCGTGACAGCTTAGATTGTGACTTAGCCTTTGTAGAAATGGGTCAGCCACTTTTCTTTAACACAAGGATGGCTGGGTTCACAGACCACAATGACCACGCTTTTCTTAAGATATTGCAAGCAATCGCATCGCTATCGAA